TGCTAATTCTTTGCAATCTGGTGGTGTAAGCCTGTGATATTTAAATATTTCCTGTAAAATAGTTCATAGGTTGAAATATCAAAGTTTTACTTTCTCATATTGCAAAGATATGGTGATTCAAAAATCGGATTTTGTGTAAAAAAACTGAGTTCCTTTATTAAAAGATATATTTTCAGGCCTGCATCAACAGAAAACAATCTCCAGGTTTAAAACTTGTTATTTGATATCCCTAACTTTTCTCTTTTTGGGTTTAAAAAAGCAGGAAACGTTAGGGATTCTTTTTTAGGTCCAATTTTCTGGACAAAAAGATTGAATAAAAATAAAAATTATCAAATCCCTTTATATCTGCAACACAATGTCGTACACCTTAGATATTTCAAACAATGAATTATATTAGATAAAATAACTTAAGTTTAGAATATCAAAGGTCTACACCACCAGTCAGAAAATACATAAGGATTAAAAAAATTGAGTTTGTGGCAAAGACTGAACTTCTTTGATCCAACCGACTCATTTGCTTTTTTACTTTTTCTCAAACATTTTTCCAGATAAAAATTACTAAAGATGATAAAATTTACATTAAAAAGTTTGTAGTTTTATTTTAACATACGAAACATGAAACAATTGCATATAATAATGAATGCACAATGCAATTCAAAGTTGAAATTAGTATTTTCAGTTTTAAATCAAAACTTTGGAGAGCTTCAACTTTCCTGCTCTATACTGTTTAAATTTAAATTCAAGGAATTAATGTTCAAATGTTCAATTAAGATTCATTTCAAAACTTTCCTTTTTGATCTTATCAGATTTATATTAAAATAAAAAAGACAAATAATATTTCGTTTATAACTTTACAAATAATATTAACAATGTCTAAACATTTTCAAAATTCCATAATCATATCCATATCCAATATCCATATTCATGAACATCCATTATCCATATCCATATCCATATTCATGAATATCCATTATCCATATCCAATATCCATATTCATAAATATCCACTATCCATATTCATGAATATCCATTATCCATATCCATATCCATATTCATGAATATCCAATATCCATATTCATGAATATCTAATATCCATATTCATGAATATCCAATATCCATATTCATGAATATCCATTATCCATATTCATGAATATCCATTATAAATATTCATGAATATCCATTATCCATATTCATGAATATCCATTATCCATATTCATGAATATCCATTATCCATATTCATGAATATCCATTATACATATTCATGAATATCCATTATCCATATTCATGAATATCCATTATCCATATCCATATACTAGGTGGAAGATGCAAGCCATGCTAAGCTGGTAGACCTAGTATCTTGGCTTACTAATAAAATAGACAAGGTTGGGTTTTAATTATTTGGTCTCAATTTTAAATAGTTTACTCTCTTTCTCTAAATCTTATATTTATAGTTTTGCCTTTAAAACATATTGTACGCGCAATTAAAAAAGGGGCAAATACAACTCATAACAATATCTTTTAAACATTTAACTGATCAAGGATAACAGACTTTTCATTATCTCTGTACAAGCTGTTTCATATTTAAGAATATCAATATTTCTAAAAGTGGCAGAATATAATTATTCACATTCGAACATTTGGATAAAGGATATTCTAGTTTTTTTTTCAGGAATAAATGGAATGTCAGCCACGCTGAGCTCACACAGTACGCTATCGATATCCAATGTTACGGCTTTAGTACAAGATTTAAGAGTTATATACAACCATCCGATTGGTTAAACATTTTCTAGTTGTGATTATTTAACTGCGAATTCCCAGGCTAGCTAGGCGAGAAAGTTACAGCTAAATCATAGCTTGAAAATGTCTAACTAATAGGACGCTGAGTTCTCTATCCTCAAGAAGCAGTCAAAGGTTTAAAGGGCGCTGTTCTGAATCTGAGATATCACTCTCTAAACGGAAGTTAGCTCGAAATTACGCTTACAGTCCCTTTAAATTAAGTTTAGAATTCGATTCCTTCCTTGGTATTTTTATATTTTTACTTATTTATAATTTTAATTTTAATTTTTAGAATATTCAAGAAATTCAAGTCGATATACAGAACCATAAAGAGGATACAGAGATTAAGTTTCAAGATCTGGAGGTTTCTGTATCTCAGAGTAACAAGGAGCTAGGTAGATATACAGTAGATACAGAGATACAGAGTTGAGGTTTTAAGATCTAGAGGTTTCTGTACCTCAGAGTAACAAGGAGCTAGGTAGGTATATGTAGGATACAGAGATACAGAGTATAGGTTTCAAGATCTAGAGGTTTCTGTATTTCAGAGTAACAAGGAGCTAGGTAGGTATACGTAGGATACAGAGATACAGAGATTAAATTTCAAGATCTAGAAGTTTCTGCATCTCAGAGTAACAAGGAGCTAGGTAGGTATACAGTAGATACAGAGATACAGAGATTAGGTTTCAAGATCTAGAGGTTTCCGTATCTCAGAGTAACAAGGAGCTAGGTAGGTATACGTAGGATACAGAGATACAGGTTTCAAGATCTAGGGGTTTCTGTATCCAAGATTTACAAGGAGATAGGTAGGTAAATTAAGTATACAGTAGATACAGAGATTAGGTTTCAAGATCTAGAGGTTTCTGTATCTCAGAGTAACAAGGAGCTAGGTAGGTATACGTAGGATACAGATATACAGAGATTGGGTTTCAAGATCAAGACAAGCAGTACAGTACACATACAGACAAGCAGTACAGTACACATACAGGCAAGAAAAGGTAAACCGGGACAGTGTAAAAATGTAAAAATGGGAAGATTCTAGGAGGGGGATCACTTGATATAACGTGAATAGTCCCTTTATTGATTCCTCATTAACCTTGTTCCCAGCTAAGTATGGTATCCTGGAGAAAGAATTCCTAGAATTCAAGGAAAGTTGTGCACAAACCAATTTGGGATTAAGTACACAGGTTCACCAGCTTCAGAACTCAATCTGTCTCAAGGTTGAAAACCATACGGAGCTCAACTCAAGGTTTGAGAAGAGCTTCTCCGATCTTTCTGAAAACTTGGAGAAAAGTTGCAAACAAGGAAATTCTATTCTATCTTCTACTTCAACACAACTTTTAACCAGGAATAGAAACATTCTTAAATATAGTTAATAAAAACAATGCAATTACATTACAATTTAATTAATATTGTATTTTTGATTGGCCAATTTTAAATGACCCCAGAGAAGGTTTATGGCTGATTGAAATTGAAAAATATTAGAAATATTTATTTTTATGATGCACGAAGAAAAAATGTTCTAAAAGAGTGTTTGGCTAGACAAGATAGTTTAGCTGAGAATAAAGTGTTGTATGATGATTTGAATATTGAATTTGCGCTCTTAGTGAACAAATATGCAACGTAAAAACGTCTCATAGGTCTAAAAATATTCTTTTGCAACACTTCATTCTTAGCTAAATTTCCTTGTGCAGCCAAACGCTCCCTCTAAAAAAACAAGTTTATACTAGAAAAAGACACAAAGCTTCTTTAAAAGCCCAGAATTATAATTTTTTTTTTTTCTTCAATTTGTGATAAAATTGATAACGTTACGTATTGTTACTATTAGATTTTAAAAAATGAGATGATTAAAAATTTTACTTTTTGAATAGATAGGTTGATATCTTCTAAAGATTATCTATATTTGTATTTAAAGATTCAATTTTGAGTTTGTTTCTAATCTCTAATCTGCAGGATTGAAAGTATAAAAGAGATTGAATCCTTGAAAAATGAGGAGATTAATAAACAACTTGACAACCTGGAACTTAGAATTCAGGTTTTCTATTCTTTTATAATCTAGCTACAGTACAGTACAGTACAGTACAGTACAGTACAGTACAGTACAGTACAGTACAGTACAGTGCAACAGTAGAATACAGTACCGTAGAGTACAGTACAATACAGTACATTACAGTACGTTAAAGTACAAAATTATAGTACAGTACAGTACAGTTCTGTACAGTACAGAACAGCATAGTAAAAGATAGCACAGTACAACACAGTCCATGAAGTCAGAACTAGAAAATAATACAATAGAAGGAAAACAAAGAGAATATAATCTCGTTTCGAGGAAATTCAGAATTAAAACATATGCATCGTATACACTACACAATTTACAGTGATAACCAGAAAACTGTAGACGAAATTAAAGCAAAACTGAAGTGTATTTGATGCTGTCACAAAGCAAATAGCTTTGCTAGTTAGGTTTTAAATTACTTATAAAGTGAAATGGGAGTGCTGTACATTTGATGTGCCTCGTGTTCATTGAACTATCTAAAGTCATAACTTGAGTCGAAAAGTCGACTTCCAATTTCAGAGTTTTCTGGTTCTAACTGTATCTATAGAAAATATACTTGTCGAGCTAGATTAAAGGGATTGCCTGAATTTAAAATAAAAAAGAAGGACATGTCCGATTCACAGCGGTGGTAAACTTTAAACTTTTCTCTGATTAATAACAAGGTTATAATGCAAGGAAAGTTAATTTCAGTTTCGTATACTCAGCGTACAGATTAAAACCAGTTCTCTCTGGGCGGAATTTGTAAACAAGAATAGATGCATCAGTGTTCGTTTAGTATCCGAGGAGGTTAAAAGCATTAAATTTTGATAATTTACATAATAGTTTTCAATGACGAAAATATTTCATTGATTTTTTATGTGAAAGATGGATCCCATGTCAGGCTTTGACATCCGTCTTGTGTTTACATTACCGCCCAGAGACAGTACACTGCAGCACAAAAGATGCGTTCAACTCTGAAATAACTTTCCTTGAATTATAACCTTGACTAATAATGTGAAAGATATAATCAGTGTTCTATCTAAAACAGTGTTTAATTTTTAACAATTCTTGATCAGGATCAGCTTTTAATGTCACCGCTTAGAATCGGACCTAGCCACCATAGAAATAGAGGGACACTGTAATTAGTCTCCAGAGCTGAAAACTTTTGAATGGAATATCCTTAATCCCGTTTGTTTTAAATATTGCTTGTTGTCCTCATGAATTTAATCTCCAGAGCTGGGAACTTTTGAATGGTGGATATCGGGATTAATGCTTGATCCACTTTTTTTCTTAATCTCCAGATTAAATATTGCTTGTTCTCCTCTTTATATTAATCTCCAGATTAATATACCTATCGGGATTAAGGATATGCCATTCTAAAGTTTTCAGCTCTGGTCATTTTACCCGAAAAAAGTAAATTCTCAAATTAAAAAATAAAGAATAAAGTAATCTACAATTAATATTATTAGTTACCAACTTTCAAACAGAAAATACATTTCTTACTTTTAGCAATTTGAATCCTTTAAGAGAAAAATCCATTAATAATCTTAATATTTTTGTAACCTGTTGATCAGGGTTGCACGGAAACCAATATCAGATTAAAGAACGGTATCTCGGAGAACCGGAGAAGGACGGAGGAACAGGAGGAGAAGTTTGTATCCGAACTCAGGACATCGGAGAAGAAAACCTCTGAGACCTTTATCTTGTTCCAGAAATTAAAGGTTTTAAACAAAACTAATTGATAAGGAACTAAATACTTGTCAAAACCTCTAATTTTCTAATCCTTATTTTTTTTAAACCTGATCTCGAAGAACCTTCAATATTTTAAACTACGAATTATATCAGATAAAATAGTAAAGATGAAATATTTAAGGTTTACACTATCAGGCTGCAAAGATATTTGGAATAAAAACATATAAATTGAGGAAGGTTTTTTTGTCTGAAATAAAAAAAATTTTGGTGAAATAAATAATTTTTGAATATTATATTGAAAACGGAAAAAACTTCAACATTTTTATTTCTGTCATTGATTGATTGATTAGGACAGGTTGGAGTTTATGAGAACAGGATTGGAAAAAGATTTAGAGAATCTTAGTTCTAGGTAATCAAAGTCATCCTTTTCTACAATATATTTATCATAATTTGAGAAAATAAATTGTATTTTCTACATACAATGTATATCTTTTCTACAANATTTTGTTCTTGATTTTGTTCTTGATTTTGTTCTTGATTTTGTTCTTGATTTTGTTCTTGATTTTGTTCTTGATTTTGTTCTTGATTTTGTTCTTGATTTTGTTCTTGATTTTGTTCTTGATTTTGTTCTTGATTTTGTTCTTGATTTTGTTCTTGATTTTGTTCTTGATTTTGTTCTTGATTTTGTTCTTGATTTTGTTCTTGATTTTGTTCTTGATTTTGTTCTTGATTTTGTTCTTGATTTTGTTCTTGATTTTGTTCTTGATTTTGTTCTTGATTTTGTTCTTGATTTTGTTCTTGATTTTGTTCTTGATTTTGTTCTTGATTTTTTTCTTGATTTGGTTCTTGATTTGGTTCTTGATTTTGTTCTTGATCTTGTTCTTGATTTTGTTCTTGATTTGGTTCTTGATTTGGATCTTGATTTTGTTCTTGATCTTGTTCTTGATCTTGTTAAGAATTTGATATTTGATTTGATATTTCATACTCAATACATTTTTTTAGATCAAATAAAAAATCTTTGTAATATGAAAAATCCTCTCCATCGCGCTGCAAAGATATAGGAACTGGAAAGTCTGAGTTTACAGTTTTCTGTTTCTTTAATCAAAATCAAAAAGTTTCTAAACTCGGGAGTCTGGAATCCTTGAGAAAGCTGATGTATTGCAGGAAACCGAGTAGTTAAAAACTTTAATCTTGGTTTGAATATTTGTCTTAATTCTGAAGATGGTTGTGTGTAGGTGTGGAGGGAGAGCTGCAGAATCTAGAGAGGAGTATAGTTGAGCTCCAGGAGAAGATCCTGGTTAGGTTGGAGGAAACAAGGAATAAACTCAGTATCCAGGAACACAAAACAACACAGAGATTTTATCGGAATTTAATTTAAGTTTTGGTGCAAAGGAACTGAGTCTTTTCCACAATTTATCTAATCCCAACTCACCTTAGATATTTCAAACTTTGAATTCTGTTAAATCAATTATCTAAGTTTTAAATATCAAATCAAAGAAATTGAGTTTTGCTAAAAATTCATATTTTGTAATCCCTATATTTTTTAAACCTGGTATTGCAAATCATTTTTCAAACATAGACTTTTTGACTAAAAAAGTATATAGTTTGAAATATCTATGATATCTAGTTGTAAAGATACAGGGCCGGATTAGAAAATCAGAGTTTGTGGCAAATACTCAATTCGGTTTTACACATTAGGGTTGCAAAGATATAAGAAAAGAAAATTTGAGTTTCTGACAAAGACTCAATTTCTTATATCTTAAACCGAAACATAAAATTAAATCAAATGCAGTTTTGAAGCTTTGTATCAATCTATAATGTCAAACTAAATAAAGAAAAATACTCAAATGGGAAATTTTCAAACTCTTAAAATAGAATTATCATTACTATTCCTAGATTGCGGAAAGCCAAATTCAGAGGAAAAAAAATCAGAACTTGACAAAGGATTTGAGCTTTTGCCACAAACTCTGATTTTCTAATCCCTTTATCTTTGAGATGTCATATCTTAGATATTTCAAACTATGAATTCTGTTAGATAATATAGTTCCAGTACACCATTGGGTTCCAAAGATATAGGGATTAGAACATTTGAATTTCTATCTAAAACTCAATTTCTTTCAATCATCATAGGACTTTTTTTTACAGTGTTCAAAGCAGATAAAAAAATCCAGGACGCCGAATGCTGCATTGATTTTATCGAATTATGTCTTTCACACAAATAAAGTAATTGAGCGACACGGATTTTTTTTCTTAAAAATTTGATCAAGTTTTGTCTCAAGGATTCAGTTCACAATAAACTCTCTACCCAGGTTAAAACAAGTCTGGATCATCAGAGCAATTCTCAGACCAACCAGGATACAAACATTCACAAAATCAGGGATGAAACAATTCACAAGAATTTCTTGTTGTACTATGAACGGATTTTATATTTTGTTTCCCCAGGTGTAGTATAGAGCAGATGCTGGTTGAGCTGGAGGGTTTAACGACCAAGGTTGAGGAGAAGGGGAGGGAGGAAAGCAGTGTCCAGCGAGGGAAGATGGAGAGGTTGGATTCTTTACTCCAGGGGCAGGGAACAGTAGAGGAGAAAATCAGAGTTTTAGGCAAGCAATGATAAAATAACTTCTTAAAACCCTTCAGCATAAACGTGAATGAGAAGATTACAAACCGACAATCAGTGTTTTTTTCTTCACACAACCATTTTGTTTATTCCCTTACCTTGATAACCTATTTATGTTATTTTCTGATATTTGTTTCAGAAACTTCTTCTCTTGGTTTAATTGTCGAGTTAAAAACCATTAAAGAAAAATTGAATAAACCGAAAAGACTCAAAAATCATCATTTTCCTTCGTTTTCTGAAATGACTAGACTAGAAGGTCGCTTCGCGCCCATATTTAGCTTTTTTTGCTGATATATTGGAATTCTACAAACCTTTCGTACATTTTTAAATGATAACAATTAAGAATATTCGCTAATGTTCCTGTTTTTATTGGAAAAATTTATTTTTCGCCAATTTTTTTACTTTTTACTTTTTATGGGACAAATTCACTTTCTTTAATATTCTTAAATTCAAACTAAAAATCAGAATTATTGCTTGTCAGAGGAGCAGGTTCGGAGTATTGATGAAACCCTCTCCAAGAGTTACCAAGAACAGATGAGCCATGTTATCAGTATAACAGAGAACCAGGAAAATATCATCAACATAGTTCAAAGATTTAAATCCATGGCTTTTATTTTTTATTTTACTTTATTTACTGAGTTAAAAGGACTGTACGTGTTAGATTAAGTTACAAATATGGCAGAGATAAGAGAGTTACAGAGATTGATAAACACCTATAATATGCGATATTTTCCACAGCATGTTCTATTGTGTACAAGTACTGTACAAGACCAATTAGGAGACATCTGTAATCAGGGATATTTAAGGATCCTTTGAATAGGAAATGCAAAATTTTTGAATATAGACAATATTCATAAACGTTATGTTTCATGTTAAAAATTGGAGTATTTCTTTAAAATTTGTAAAACTTAACCCCTGAATGCAACAAATGGCCGTAAGATGTCAGTCAAAAAACATTACATGGAACCGTAGCATGGCGTGCCGGGACACTATAGGCCTGCTCAGCCTATCCAGGTAGAGTGTATGAGCAGTCTGTGTAGTCTGTGATTTAAAGCATTGTCCGATCAAGTATGAACGATATCAATGTATCAAGTATGAACGATATCAATGTTTCAAGTATCAACGATATCAATGTTTATAATTTGGAAAAATTATTATTTTCAATTGTTATTTCTCTACAAAAGTGACTTGCGCATTTCTACCGCAGAAAAAAACTTATGGAATTTTCAGATTTAAACACTTTCAGACCTCAGAAAATGACAATGTCTTCCATATTATTGATCTGATAAAGCTGAAACTCGGGCATTGTCATCTTTGAATAGAGGGTCACTCAAAATTACGCGTACAGTCCTTTTAATAAAAAGATGTTGTTGATATTCTAGAGTAAATTAAGCGGAACCTTGACTGAGAAATGGGGAGTTCTGGATATAAACATTAGAACTATGAAGGGAGACTTAAGAAAGAATATTGACTCCGAGCGTAAAGAAATAGAGGAACAGATCGGGACTGAGAAGGTTGGGGTTGAAGAGCAGCTTCAACAAATCAGGAAACTTATCTCCGACTCCTCGGTGATACTGGAAACAGAACTGAGAGAGCTCCAAGAGAAGATCCTAAGTGTTGAGGAGAATATCAAGAAGGATTTAAACCTGAACTTGAAGAAGGTTACGGAGAATATTGATAGGTTGGGCAGTGATGAGGTTTCAGTTGCTATTGATAATATGCATACTTTCAGCTCAAGGATTAGGTAAGCTTTAGAATTAATATCAGGATTCGGATTAGGATTAAAATTAAGTTAAGAATGCGGTTTAAGATTGGGATTAAAAACAAGATAAGGTTTAGAATCAAGATAAGGATTTGGAAAAACAGCAGGATTAATATCAATATTAGGATTGAAATCGAGATCAGGATCTAAATCAGAATCAGGATCATGGCCAAGATGAGAATCAGAATCATGGTCAAGATAAGAATCAGGATTATGGCCAAGATAAGAATCAGAATCATGGCCAAGATAAGAATGGATATTTTAGAATTACTATCATTCACAGAGATTGCATCTGTATATGGATCAGAACTGGAACAGAATCGAGATTTGTAGGGTTAGGATAACAATTAAGTTTGGAGAAGAATATAAGTTCTAATTCGAATTGGGAATAATATAAAAGACCAATAAACTCAATAAATGCATGACTTTACATGCAGAGAGCTTGAGGTTCGGATCGGAGAGATGGAAAACCTTGTTGCTGAGCATCCTAGAGATTGGAAGAATAATCTTCTCTTCCATGGGATAGAGATACAACCTAAGGAGACCTTTTACAGCCTTGCTTTAATAGTATCTAAGATTATCAGGTTTGATTTTAATCGGAAATTAATAACCATTGAGTTTAAGCAAACCAGTTTTATTTTATTTCATAAATATGAAGGTTTCCATGAAACTAGGAAACAGTGGATCAAAGAGTCTATCGTTGAGTTGAAATTTTAAATAAATCTTCATTTAAGAGGGGCGGGCAGACTAAAATAACAATGACACACTTTAAATAGTTATTTGATCAAAATGGAAGATATTGTCGTATTTCTAGCTTAAAAGGTGATCAGTTTCACAATTTTTTCTGTAGCAGAAATCAACCTGCCACGTTTACAGAAAACCAACAAATGAAAGAAACTAATTAAGTTAAAAACTTGAGTTTTTAGTTCCTTTGTTTTGTGGAATTGAAGTTAAAAAATTGGTATTTGCACAGGAGAAGTTTAGGAGTGAGAAGAGAGATGATGGTAACAGGGATACAGAGATTAAACCCATCCCACTCGGATATACATGGAACACCTCCTCTAGTAGTAACCCTTCAGTATCCCCAGGTCAGCATTCATATATTCATTTATCATTTCATATAGTTGTTTAGTCATTCTTTCTTTCATTCATAGCTATCCTTTCTTTCATTCATAGCTATCCTTTCTTTCATTCATTGCTATCCTTTCTTTAATTCATTGCTATCCTTTCTTTCATTCATAGCTATCCTTTCTTTCATTCATAACTATTCTTTCTTCCATTCAAAGTTATCTTTTCGTTCTTATTTGATATTTCATTCAATACAATCAATGTTTTATTATTAATTTTCTTATTCATTTATCAGTCATTTTTTAATCCTTGTTTATTCATCCTTTCATTTATTCTTTTACAATTAATCTTTTAATTCTTTGTTTATTCATCCTTTCATTTATTCATCTCTTTATTAATTTTCTAATTCATTTATCAATCATTTTTCATTCCCTGTTTATTCATCCTTTCATTTATTCATCTACCATTAATCTTTTCATTCCTTGTTTATTCATCCTTTCATTTATTCATCTACAAGTAATCTTTTCATTCTTTGTTTATTCATCCTTTCATTTATTCACCTACGATTAATCTTTTTATTACTTGTTTATTCATCCTTTCATTTATTCATCTCCAATTAATCTTTTTATTCCTTGTTTATTCATCCTTTCATTTATTCATCTATTTATTAATTTTCTAATTCATTTATCATTCATTTTTCATTCACTTTTTATTCATCCTTTCATTTATTCCTCTACAATTAATCTTTTCATTCCTTGTTTATTCATCCTTTCATTTATTCATCTACAAGTAATCTTTTCATTCTTTGTTTATTCATCCTTTCATTTATTCACCTACGATTAATCTTTTTATTACTTGTTTATTCATCCTTTCATTTAATCATCTCCAATTAATCTTTTTATTCCTTGTTTATTCATCCTTTCATTTATTCATCTACAATCAATCTTTTTATTCCTTGTTTATTACTTTTTTCCTTATACAAACTTCTTTTTTCGTTTTGTTCTTTCATATTTTTTTTCATTGTTCAAATGTATTTAAAGTTTGTGTTTGTGTAGGACAGGGAAGAATTAATGTCAAGACTTGATTTACTCAAGGGTTCAAATATAAAGGTTAAACATCTTATTCATAAAAATTCTTAATTTCAGATATTTTTTTATTTGTTGCTGTTATAAAAACGATGCTTTTAACTTGTGTATTTCATAAAGCGACGTGGCCAAGAATGTTTCATTCTTGTTGTTTGAGAATCAACTTTTTATAAATATCATATTTGAACTCAGAATATGTCTCCAAATGTTACCAAAAGCTTATATATCCAAGGTGTAATATTGCTAATGTCGGTCTCTTGCAGTTTTGGAGAGCTAGAAGGCACTTCGGCATCTGCTCTATTACCATTTGCTCTATTGCCTAAACCACAAAGCTTTTACTCATTTTATAGAGTGTTGACGTAATTTTAAAATTGGTATGTCCGATTTACAACGGTACCCTTCAAACTTTTGTCTGAGTAATGATAACGGATTGCAAACATCTCCCTAGGAACCCGTGTAAGTGTTGATAACAATGTACATTTAATCTGTTGCATATTTAAAATATATATGTATATATATGTTTTTCCGGAGTCACATTAAGTCCAATTTTTATTCGAATTTTAAAAACTGCGGTAAACATTAAAAATATGAATTTTAGAAATTCTAGAACGGGAAATGTGTTCAGCTGTCGCCGGAACTATGTATTTGCCAATATATGAAGACTTTTTTCTTAGTATAGTATTTTTATGTCTGAAATGTCATTTAAAATTACATCTACATTCCCTTTAATCTAAAACTATGGAAAGTATCGAAATTTTGTGGACTTTAATTATTGTGTTGTTCAGATCACTGAAGATATGTCACGAAGTATGAGGGAGGAGTGGGGAGAGTTGTACAGGTCTCACTCACACATACATATTCATCCATTTATCTTGCGAGCTTTTCATCCGTTTATCTATCCATCTTTTCATCCGTTTATCTATCCATCTTTTCATCCGTTTATCTATCCATCTTTTCATCCGTCCATAAAAATTCGTTTTTGTTCTTTCATTTTTCCTACTGATTTTGTTATTTAAAACTTACACATCAAGTCATCCATAAAAATTCGTTTTTGTTCTTTCATTTTTCCTACTGATTTTGTTATTTAAAACTTACACATCAGAAAAATGTTGGTTAAAACAGTTACAAACTACAAAATCTGTAATCAAAGAAATTGAGTTCTTGCCATAACTCTGATATTTTAATCAGCTTTGCAACCCGATAACGTAGACCTTTGTTATTCCAAATTATTAGTTCTGTTTAAACAAATAGTCTAAATTTGAAATATTAAAGGTTTACACCATCAGGTTCCATAGATATATAAATTTGAGACAAAAACTCAATTCCTTTCTTAAAAACATCATATATTTGAATCACACTATGTACATTATTTGATTTTTACAACAAATTCGTAAGACTTTTTTATTTAGGTTTATGGTTCGGGTTCGGGAGAGATATCCGAGTAGTGTTTGTATACTGCAGGAGAACAGATTATATGTGGATAATAAGGTAAAGAGGGTTGGGGTCTTAGGGAATATATAAATCATTAAGTTTTCGGAACTGGCACACAACAATTTTGTCAGAGATCATAAAACTCGGATTTTTTGTGTCAATAGAATCGAATCAACATTATACAAATGCTTTATCTCTAGAAAGGTATAACTGATTACTCGCCAAATATCTAATTTTCTAACCCTTCCAACCTGATATCATAGATCTTTATATTTCAAATTAGGTATTTAATTTAAATTAAATTTAAATTAAATAAATAGTCCAAATTTGGAATATCAAAGTTATCACTATAGGTCGCAAAAATATAGGTGTTACAAAAGTAGAGTTTGTGACAAATAATCAATTGCTTTCCGTTTAATATTTGATATTTACATGATTTGTTAAAAAAGATTATTTTTAGATATTCGTTTGGGATAAATCTAAACAAAAGGTATTTTCTATATTTAAAAAAAGGAAAAAATATTAATGATAATGCAACGAAAACACATCAGTTTTTATTACTCATTTTTTTTACTTTCAATTGATTGCTCGTTTTTAAAAACTGATTAATTACATAACTGTGCGTTTGTTCTGGTATAAATTGATTGATTGCCAATCTAATTGATTTACTAGATGGTAGATTAATTGATTGTCTAGCTGATTGATTGATCTATTATTTGATCGATTTTCTAGCTGAATGATTGATTGATCTATTATTTGATTGATTTTCTAGCTGATTGACTGACCGATTATTTCATTGATTTTCTAGCTGATTAAATGATTGATCGATTATTTAATTAATTAATTGCTGCTAGGTTGCAGAGCAACCAAGATTGGTTCTTTCTAACTCCGGAGTACAAATACCAAACAAAGTTAAATCAAGCCGACATTCATAAATTAATATTTTTGTAAAATGAAATAAATGTTATAATTTACTATTTGAAATAAATTCTTTAATTTTTTAAGCAGAGATAAAAAATATTAACGAATATTTGATATGTGAAGTTATTTGCAAGAAAGGATAAAAGGAGCAGAATAGGTCGAGGACAAACAAAATATTGAAAATGAAATTCAAAAGAAGTGAACACTTGACTCAAACTTAAAGTTTCTAATCCCTATATCGTTTTTGATGTAACAGGTTTTATAGTTTGAAATATCTAAGGTCTATATTATCAGGTTGTAAATATAAAGGATTTTAATTTGTGGCAAGTGTTCAGTTCCCTCTGGATAACAGAGCTGAGGTTTTTAAAGCTTAAACCCGAGTAAACCCGGCTTTAGCGTCTATTAACGCCAAAGTAAAAACCAAGTGAAGACTCGAGTTTTAGTTAGATTTGGTTAAAGTAAAAACCAAGTGAAGACTCGAGTTTTAGTTAGATTTGGTTAAAGGAGAAACCAAGTGAAGACTCGATTTTTAGTTAGATTTGGTTACAGTAAAAACCAAGCAAAGACGCGAGTTTTAGTTAGATTTGGTTAATGGAAAAACCAAGTGAAGTCTCGAGTATTAGTTAGATTTGGTTAAAGTAAAAGCCAAGTGAAGACTAGAGTTTTAGTTAGATTTGGTTAAAGTAAAAACCAAGTTAAGGCTTGAGTTTTAGTTAGATTTGGTTAAAGGAGAAACCAAGTGAAGACTCGAGTTTTAGTTAGATTTGGTTAAAAATGTAAAATGTAAAATGTAAAAATATAATAGTTTACAATAGTTGTGTCATCTAAAATCCGGTGAATTATCTGGAGTGTTAAACTGGATAATAGAAGAGAAACGACCTCAAATAATTAAAAGAGAGTTGCTAGGTAACATTTTCGCTAAATTATCTCTCGTAAGTCATTTATTTCGGTTGTGTATCTATTAATTAAGCATGGATCCCATTGGGATTAGTCTTAAATCGACCAATAAAAGAAATTAATTCACCTCTGATAAGAATTCTGTGACTATGGTTCAGCTTTCCGAGACGATTTTCATCTAGGACTAGAAATCCTAAAGACCAAAAGATTTAATAAAAAACTCCGGGCTCTGATAATCTAAGAGTGAGAGAGAGAAGGGTTGTATGTATAGTTGTATGCACGGCAGGTTCCCTATATAATGTGAGAATAATGAGACTCATTGTTTCTCCGCATGTAGGGGTGTAACGCACAGGTACAGGCTGCCTCAATTTTAAGATATAGAACAAAGGAAGAGTCTTTGCCACAAACTGAGATTTTCTGATCTTTTTATATTTAAAACCCAATGTCGTAAGACCTTAGATATTTCAAACTATGAATCAAATAATATCAAAGGTTTATACCATCAGAGGCCGAACTTAAAGAATTTGAACGGAAGTTCAAATTTAAGCCCCGACTCAAGTTTTGTTGGTTCCACTTAAATTAGTATTAAATTTTTCAATATTCAAGCCGGTGCTCAATTGAAACCGATTTTTGGGGGATTTGAGACGCGGCTTAAATTAATTAAATTCGGACACAGGTTGCAAAGATATCAGAAGTAGAAAGTAAAAGTTTTTGGCTAAGACTCAGTTTCCATTAAAATTTTATTTCTTAAAGTTTAATTTTGACTTGTGATTGAATTTATTTTAAGATTTAAAAACTATTTGTTGAGCACGGGATTTGTTCACACTGTAATGTTTCTCCTCCCACTAGGCGCTTATACCGCCATTACACAGTAATGGCGTCGGTTTATCACACTAAATATATACATGTTAATCCGAATTGATACCAGCTCATTTGTATCAAACATTTTAAGAATTTTACGCATAGTTTGCAGTTAGGAAGAGGTCGTAGAACTCTTAAAAGGAAATATGGTTGGATTAAGTTTGTTCGTGTAGGGTTGAATACTTGCATGTGAAGAACATTAATGTAAACGGAAATGTAGATATATCAGGGAAACCCATAAAATTGTTTAAGATGAAGACGATATCTAAACAATATTATATGTTTTTTGAGTCTTACAGTTGTCTGGATTAAAACTTAATTACGGTTGCAAAGTAAGCAAAACTGTAGATGATGATGATTCTGCAACCAATCAGTTGGAATGTGTCTAGAATCTCATTGAAGAATGCGAGGTTAGCTTGCGTCATGTAGTCCAATCTAGGTTTTATTACATTATCAGGGGCTCTCTCTAGGTAGGGTAAAACCACTGCAGGGGGTTCAGATACAGATCTTTATAAGATATAAACTATAGTACCTTGTATACGTTCACTATGGAGACTGCTTTTGCACAAATTACCCCGAAAAAAAATCAACTTAATTGAACAATGATGATGTTTTTTTTTTCAAATATGAATTGTTTTCCCATAAATAATATTTTATTTTTATTTGCTGATATCAATATTTTAGTTGAATGTCGTCTGACTGAAAAACTAGGGGTTTGACTAGTTATTCTTTAATTTGAAATCTTAATTTACAACAAAGCTTTTAGGGCGCTCCGCGCCCATCTTCTTTTTCAATTTTTAACTGTGGCTTTATCTGTGAGCATCTTCTCTTAGTACAGTATAATTTTTTTAATTTGTGGATTTCATAATATTTTTTCGCGCATTTTCAAAATCTTACTAAATCAAATAATTTAAGATAAAAATATTTTCAGATACATATTTAAAGTCTGATTGGCCTTAAACCTTCCCTGGGGCCACGTGAGGTCTCACACAAAATTTGGGCTTGATCGGTTCAGCCGTTTTGAGGTTTATTGGATACAAACAAACAGACAAGCTAAATTTAAATATAGATTATTAGAGAGAAAGGACATTAAGTTAATTTCAGTACGGATTAGATAAAAATTATGGGTTTGATACAAAACGGAAGCAGTTAATTTTTGTTTCAATACCACACAAATTGTAAAACTAGAACTAAGCATATACCTATCATTCAAAATCCATCCAACAAAGCTTGATTAACCTTTTGAATCATATACGTAAAGCACTATACGAGATATATATAAGAATGACAAAAATGTACTCAAAATGTAATGCACGCAGATTTAACAGTTCGGTTCTTAATCATCATCGATCAAAAATTGACCTAGCTATCAAACATCATTTGTTTCGATACTTTTTTGTCGATATGTGCGTTTTAAATGAAAGCGTAATATTGAAAGACAACTCGGAAAGTTTAAAGAATTGAATTAAAAAACTTAAACGTGATTAAATCAAAAAGGAGAAACCGAACCCACATCACCCCGGTTAGTCCAGTAAGTTTTCTGCGTGCATCAGAAAAATAAATATTTCGCAGATTTTTGGTTTTCATTGGTGAAGTTTTTAAATAGAAATGGTACTTTTCATTAATTTTGACGTTTATTGAAAAAAAACATACAGACACAACGGCAGACAGCCAAATGTATAAGTGACATAGATAAGTACATGCTATAAGTTTGATAAGTTAAGGATATTGCTCCGGCCCCGACATAAAACTGGATGATTAAGATTATCTGAACCATCTTTACTCCGTGTAGTACTAGAACCACTGGCAGGGGGCCAATACACTAACACATTTGTTACAAATATAATATCTTTTCAGAACATACGTTAAAGGGATTGGTTCTGATTTTCATGCCGGGTATTACAATTGAAAAATGTGATTGTTTATTGTACATTTGTGTTTTTCAGTATTAGATATTCGATCTAGCATTTTATTATAATATCACACGTCAAACCAACGTTACTTGCCGCGTGTAAGATTTAAATCTGATTTCAAACATAAATCTTATTATTAAAGAGATATTGAGAAGAACAAAACTGTTTGAATTTCTAAATGTAACCGGATAAAGGAATTGAGTCTTTGTAACAAACTCTGATTTTCTAATACCTATATATTTGCAACCCAATTTCGTAGACCTTAGATTTTTTCAAACTATGAATTCTGTTAGATCAAATAGTCTAAGTTTGAAATATCAAAGGTTTCCACCATCAGGTTGCCAAGATATAAGGCTTTTAAAATTTGAATTTGTGGCAAAAACTTAATTCCTATGCTGATCACATACTTCATAAAATCAAACCTAGAAGAGCTACTTTAGGTCACAAAGTCGCATAAAAGCTCACAGTGATTAATTCAAATTTATTGTGGTATTTCTATTCTTTTTCTGGAGTAGTACGCGACCAAACCAAATTCTTAACTCAAACTTTTAAATTAAAAACATCAGCTTTTAAAATGTTGAAATCTACAGTTTAATAATTTCTCATGATACCAGTCCTGAGTATTTGAACTAGGTGTTGCTAGTTAAACAAGTTCCAGTTAAACTTTCTGTTTTTAGTTTTACTAAACTTCACTATTCATTAATTCCGGCCTCTGATTTCTAATTGGTTCAATCGCGAAACTTTAACCAATAACAGTTAAACTCCCAAGGGGAAAGAGAATGACTCGCAACCAGTTTTACTCATTCTGGGACCAAATATAATGAATTTGAGCTACATCGCTGAATTACAAATTGCCGATTCAAATTGAACCAAAGATTTAAAGTAAAGGAGTCAGAAAGAATTTAAATCGGTGATTCAAATTTGAACCGGTGGTCGGTAGTTCAGCGATCCCTTTTAATTAATTCAATTCGGGCCTTGTTCATTTAAAAATGCCCAGAATTAAGAAATTTTGTGCTGTAAAAGCCTTACTCCAACAAGTCTTTTAGATCGGTTTCAATCCAGGTTCAACTCTTCAGGTTCTCCATTAATATTGCATGCACTATAAGGGATTTATCTTATTATTGTTTAGAAGAATAAAGCGTGAAGGAAAAATTCTAAACATTTTAATAAAAATTCTTGATCTCTGTAATATATTATAAATACTATATATTATATACTATATAAGCTATCAATGGGGAAATATTTTTTTTATCCGTCTCCTGATTCCTTACACACATCATTCATAAAATACACTGACTATAGAATATTTTAATTATTTCTTAAAGCAACAAAATAAAAAACATTATCTGTTTACTTTCTATAAGAGAGAGAAACATTACTAATATTGTTAAGATTAATGTACTATTGTTATC